TTCTTGAGGATGATCTGCCACCAGCGGAGTCGCAGCGCGGCATTCTGGGCCTTGGAGATCTTGGGGTACATCTTGCTCAGCCTCTCCACGTTGCCTGCGAGAGGGGGATCATCACCAGCCCCGCAGGGTCTCTGCCTCCGGCTCCCGTCCCCTGCTCCGAGGGGACCCTGCGAGCCCACGCTGGGTGTGCTGCAAATCCGCCGGGATCCTCCCAGCCACGGGCCAGCCCCAGACCCCCTGAGCCCCCCGGCACCCCCAGCTCTGGGAGCACCCCAGGCACTCGCTGGCTCCGGGCGGGAGGGTGCCCGTGTTGGGCCTCCCGGGGCCAGGCAGCCCTGCAGAGCCACGTGCCTGGTGGCTTGGGATGCCAGCGTAGGGAGGTCCCTCAGCAAAGAGCGCAAGGAGAGGTGAACAGAGAGGTGACAGCCTGGGGACAGCAGAGCTCCTCCCTGCCACTGCATGTGTCCCCATACGTCTAGGGACACGGTTCCCCTGGCCCCACCACACCGATCGAGGCTTCCCAGACACAAGGAACTGCACTGCTGGACCACAGTGGGGATGGACTGGCAGCCACGCACCCACGCGTCCCGCTGACATGCCCTCACGTCCCCAGCCAACCGGCTGGCCTGGGGCACAGCACCCCAAGCCTCCGCTGGGCACTGGAGCCCCGGGAGGTGCCCTGGCCCTCACCTTCTGGCAGGGGGGATTTCTGCAGGACCTGATCCAGGAAGTAGACCAGCTGGTACGTCCTCCAGGCCGTGATGTCCACGGCTTCGATCGCCTCCATGTTCAAGCCATCAGCTGCCCAGAGCTCTGCCAGCTCATCTGCCGGCTTCATCAGCTGCTCCCCAGGCGAGAGGTCGGGCAGGTAGGGGGGCCAGCCCGGCGTGTTCAGCCAGCGGTCGAACTCAAAGCCTGTCACGGGGAAGGGAGGGAGAGCTGGGACCCGTTCTCTGAACCCAGCACCGGGCGCTGCTGCCCAGACATCCCGCTGCCTTCTCCAACAGCATCCCCAGCACCACCAAACCTGCCCAGGGATGGCGACGAGCAGAGAGTAACGGGGTGAGGCCGTTAAGCCACCCTGGGCTCGGTGTGTGCTTGTGCAGTAACAGCCTCACTGCCGCCAGTGAGATGAGCCGGCTCCAGCACGGAAAGCTCCTGCTGAGCCCGATCCCAGCAGCTCCACCAGCAAACGCTCCTATCCTGGTGGCTACAGACTTGCCGGGCTCAGCTGTCCATGGGGAAACCCCACGAAACAGCACCTGAGCGCAGAGCATGGACTGGATGGGAAGAATCAGGCTGGGCAGGTGCACACCCAAGCCCAGCTTAGTGCCTGATCCCAGGCCGCCAGCGCTGCGCTGCCTCCATCAGAGCTGAGGCCAGTAGCGGTAGCTGCGGCTCCAGTAAAACCCACAAACCGACATGCACAGGGTCTGCACGGGCCATGGGACGGCTCCGATGCCCATGGGGTGCTGGTTTGCGAAGCGGCGCCCCGGTCCCCTGGCCAGGAAGGCGCCATGCTGACCTGGGATGGAGTCCACGCCTTTCTCCTTCAGCTCTGGGAAGTACTCCAGGAAGAAGCCAAGGGTGTCGTCTGCTGTGATGCTCTGGAACTTGAACCGGTTCACGTAGGCCTGCGGGGACGGCCGGGGCATGACGCTGCATGCGCTCCCCCCGGCAGTGCTGCCCGGCCCTCCCCGTGCTCCATCTCATGGGGGCTTAGTGTTGCCGAGCCCACGCCGGCCCCTGTTGCCCCCCAGGAGCTGCCCAGCCCCCTGCATCCCCCAGGACACCCCTGCTCATTGCCACCACCTGCTGCCAGCGCAGGGCCAGGCTCTGCCCTCACCTCACTCCCCCATGAACATCTCCCTTTCCCACCTCTTCCCCTCCCCAGCCTCCCTGTTCAGCCCGTCCTTCCCGGGGCCCCGCTGCGCTCTGGCCTTCCACCGCGGGGTTTTGTGTGACCTGGCACCTCCGCCTGCCTCCTCCCCGTACCGACCTGGAGGAAGGCATCGAACTTGCTCTGGTCCCCCACGAGATGGGCCAAGTAGCTGACGAAGCAGTACCCCTTCTCGTAGGGTGTTTCGTTGTACGTGTCATCGGGATTGACACCTGGAAAAAGGGAAAACCCTCAGGAATCATCTGCCCATCTGCAAAACAAAACAGCCCTCATGTGCGCCGAGATTTCTGCTTTCTGTGCCGGGTGCAAGCCTGTCGCATCCCTCCCGGAGCCATCGCCTAACTCAGGTCCCACCACCAGCGCCGGTTTTATTGCAAGCCACAAAACACCCCAGCAGCAGAACTTCCCCCCCTCCCCACCGCACCTCACTTGCCCCCGCTCCCCTGGCCGGCCGCAGGAGGACGGGGACGCCCCACAGACCTGGCTCGATGACCACCCGCAGCTTGTTGAGCGGGTGGTCCTCCCCCGTGTTGTCCATGTGCTGGCGCAGGAGGGCCCTTCCCGTCGCAGCCTCCAGGCAGGTGTACGGCAAACCTGGGCAGAGACAAGCAGGAGGCGTTCGGAGACCCCGACCAGACCCCTGCGCGCTTCGAGTGCAAGGGGTGCTGCTACGGGAGGGAAACAGCGTTGGCTTACGAGCCGGGAGAGGAGGAAACCGATAAACAAGGCATTGGGATGGCAGAGCTGCAGAGAGGCACGGCAACCCACCCCTCGGTTAGCAAGAAGTTTTTACAGGCATTTAAATTTATCTGGATGCAGCAAATGGCGCTGCGAGCGCCTGAGCTGCCGGATGTGACCGTGTGTCCAGGGGAGAGCTCAGGGTGGCTGCTATCAGCTCCCCAAAGGAGCTGTGGGAGCAAGAGGGAGGTGAAGCTGGGCAGATTGCAGCGCCCACGTCCCTGGCACGGGGCTGCGGGGGCTCCGTCCATCTCTCAGAGCGAAGGCGGTTCTGTTGCTAACACAAAACCCCCGGGGCGTTGCAGGCTGCTGCTCTTCACCTCTTCCGAGATGCAGCACAAGCTCTGGCCTCGCACGAGGGATGCACTGAGCCGCAGCGCACGGACCCTGGACCCACGCGGGTCCTGCCTGCGACGACACGGCTGCATGTGGGGACTCGGCGCCCTGCGGCCGGGCAAGGCCACGCACCGTAGACCTCGGTGGAAATGCGCCTCTGGGCGTACATGGTGAAGCCCTCGTTCAGCCAAAACTCGCCCCACGTGGCGTTGGTGACCAGGTTGCCAAACCAGCTGTGGGAGATCTCGTGGATGATGACGTCCACCAGGGAGCGGTCCCCGGCCAGCAGGCACGGTGTCACAAAGGTGAGGCAGGGATTCTCCATCCCGCCGAAAGGGAAGGAGGGCGGCATGAACAGGATGTCATACCTGCGGGGGAAGGGCAGACGGCTTGGGTCAGACCCGCCTCCTCCTGCGGAGGCTGCTGGGGAGGGAGGGATGCTCCCTCCCCAGCCCCGCGGAGCAAAGCCCTTCGGGAACAGGCAGCCGTACCTGCCCCAAACATAAGGTCCAAAGAGCCTCTCTCCAACCGTCAGGAACTCCTCAATCACCCCATCGTACTCCTTCTTTGCAGCCTCGATCAGGCAGGGCTCGGCCCAGACACGGCTCCTGGCCAAGTGCGTAGAAGAGGAAGTTTTAACCATTAGTGGACTTTTACCCAATTGCTTCATCAGACAAAAACTGCACGTGTTTTTTCCACAGCAAAATAAAAGCCTGCTGATAAAGGAAGCTAATGAGACTGATAGTGCAAACTGCTGTACTTTCCTTCCTTGTCTGAATGTCAAAGGGCTTTTACATGGCTACTGTGACAGCCAGGACCCGAACAAACCAGCGGCCTTGGGAAGAGACGTGGGACCCTCCGTGAACGGGGACCCGCTGCTCTCATTCACGTGCACAGGGGAGAAATGAGCAGAGCCAGGGACGCCCTCGAAGGCGATGGGACCCGGCACGGAGGCTCCTCCTCGCTCTCAAGAGCAAGAAGCACCCTCACGCGGCAGAGCCCGCGGCCTGATGACACAGCACCACGTGCACAGCAGCCTGGGGACTGACCGGGTCATGCTTACGGTCGGCGTCTCTGCGCCTGCCAGCTCTCCAGAGCCCAGCGGTGCAGGGAGAGGCAGCAGGCAGCTGCCACGGGAGAGCACGGCACAGGAGCTTCACCGCGCGGCTCCCACAGCCAGGGCTTAACGCTCGGGCCTCCTCCAGAGCCACTTACCTTGGGCCAACGTCAGCAGACACAATGTCCCCGACAGCCAGAGCGATCAGGTACGATGGGATCGGCTGGGACATCTTGAAGACAAAGGTGTTATCCTTCTGCTTCTCCCAGCTCGTGGCACTCATCACAGCCGTGAAACCCTCGGGGACCTGGAGACGAAGATAAAAACATGTTAGATCCGTAACGTACAGAGCGGGACGTCAGCTAACCCAGCCAGGGACGCCGCGATGTCTGATGCCGAACGTATCCCAGCACACTGAAGGTGGCCATGTCCACGGGCACTGCAGGTTTCGGGGCGCAGAGCAGAGCAGGAAAGCCCCGAGCTCCACCTCGGGACCACAGCTGCATCCCTGCAACAGCACCACTCAGCACTTCGGCTCAAACATCGGCTGGGTGCAACACCAGGACACCCAGGGCTGCCGTGTGAGGTGCCAGCAAGATAAAGAAATGCTGGAGCTGCAGGTGCTGAAAGGGCAAAGGATGCAGCTCCTTCAGACGCTGGCTCACCTCCCGCTTCTTACACAACAACTTGTCTTTCCTGTTTTCACGCCAAAGTAGAACCCGTGGCCAATCCACCAGCCTGGCCCGAGCCCTGGGAGACTGATCCGCTGTCCCTTCTCCCAAACGCGGGGTGAGCCACCGAATACAGTTTTCTTGGTACAGAGCATCACACCAGGACTCTACGACAGCCAAGCCCTGCGCTCGCCTCTCAGGGGGATGCTGCCAAAGCTTTAAGGGTGGAAATTAGAGCAAGAGGCAAAGTAAATAAATTCCAGCATCACCAGCTGATGCCACCGCGTGCCATCAGCCCTGGCTTGGTGTCACAGCGATAAGCAGCTTCCCTCGCCCGCAGCAGGCTGGCACGCCAGGGTCGCCCAGTGCCGGTGCCACTGCGTGACTGCCCGCAGGCAAGGGGGAATGTGGATTATTTAGTCCATTTTTGTACTAAATCTGGGGACCAGCGGCTGCTCCTTCCATCCTGGAAGCCCAGCAACCCCAGCACCAGGTGCAGCCCAGTGTCACCCCCTCCTCCAGCTGTGCCCCCCAAGCTTGGCTCGTCCTGGTCGCTACACAGGCCAAGAGCAGGCACCCCGCTGCCTCGGACCGCTACGGGGCAAGACTAGGGTTTTCTGTGATAATTAGAGGAATTACTGAGCCAAGTGCAGCAGCCCACGGAGAGCAGAGAGGTTTGAACACCGAGCTGATCCCAACAGTTAGCTGATATTTTGACACTGAGTATTTCAGCCACCTCCCACCGGGCGAGAAGAGCTTTCAGCAGGCCGGCCGGCACGTCCCTTTGCTTGCAAGCCACCGCATGAAGCGGCACCCAGCACGCACGGCTGGGGAGAAGCAAGAGGACCACTGGGGCCTGCTGGTATTCATCTGAAGATGAATATAAGAGAGAACCAGGAGCACAAATGAATTATTTCTCAGTGCCTTCTCCGCTGGGGGCCCGCGGTGGAGGCTTTGAGGTGCGACAAGCATCGCCTCCAACGTGCCGGCGCCGTGCAGAGGCCCGGGCAGCGCTGCTGATGCGACGCCCCGACGTTTCGGCGCGTCCGGCGAGGGAGCCGGCAGCCTCCCCGCCAGCAAACTCTGCAAACCGGCGGGGGGTTTTGCTCCCGCCCGGGGGGCTCCGGGCCTGCACCCCCGGGGCACCGCTTACCTTCACGGTGGCCGAGTAGGTGCATTTGACGGAGGGGGTGTCGAAGCAGGGGAAGAAGGACCTGTTGAGGACGGCCTGGCCTTGCGTGTACATGTAGGGCTTCTGCTTCCCCGCCGTCTGCTCGGGAGCGAGCCAGCACACCTGGGGAGGGTGGGGGAGCCCGCTGAGGCCGCTCTGCTGAGGGAGCCGCGGCTGCTCCCCGGGGGGGCGGGCCCGGGCCCGCCGCCCGCCCCGCGCGCCCTCAGGC